TCAACCCTACAGTTAAAAATCCCGTTGCTACTAATAATGTATAAATCGCACGGTGTACTTTTACTTTTTTTTGTTTGTGTCCCAGCGACGGAAATTACTAAACCGGTATACATTATGTCGCATGTGAGTGACGACACAAATTAGTCACAGTCGTCATTCGACGTGAAAATGGAAATCACACGTCAAGTCACGACACATACTTGGTGGCTCTCGAATGACGATACAAATGCAATTAACACATCATCTGATAAGCAGACTATAACTACCCCATCTTTGACGAGGCAAATGCAAACTGATCGTCACTCGAATGACGAGGCAAATGTAAATCGCTCGTCATAGATGGGATAGTTATAGTCCGAAATAAGTGGTATAATTGGAGTCTATATTAATATAGACTCCAATATACCACTACACAACAGTCTCTGGTATCCATTTAGAACACTTCCTAGTATAAACTGTTCCGTAGCCACCAGCTCCGATCTCTTTGAGTTCGTAAAAGCTGCATGTTCATGTTCGTGAAATTGCATAAACCTGTCCAGTACTTCACGTACATAATAGTAGAAAACTAAATAATATTAATATTTCCGAGTGGACGGTTCTTGAGTAATTCTAACGATCCAAAACATTATCAGAAGTTAATGTCTTTGGGTATTCCAGTTTTAGTTATCTGGCTAATGCACATTGTAACTTCTAACATTATGAAAGCTGTTTTCATATACTTGGTCTAAATTTGGATCCAGATCAACTTGCACAACTAAAAATTTCTGGATTCTTTTTATAAATCATTGTAAGACTTCTACTTATTATTATACTGCTTGAAATTGGATGCATTTTGTTGTTAATATTAAGAGATTGTTTTGCAAGATAGTAGCAATGACCAAGGGTTGCTGCTTGTGAACAGTCAACATCACAGAAGCTGTGGAAAAGTGACTGATATGTAAACAGAAATATTTAGTATTTAGCTGCAATTAATACCTTATCTAACAATATCTAATTATAATGAGCACCATCACCAATTTACAAACTGCGGGGAGCAATGAATTAGAGGGCTACGGCAGGTCAGTTAATTCAACGATCGAGGTGGTAACATATAAAAACAGTCAATCTCTTCATACTCACCAATTGATCATCATGTTCTGATGGTCGAGCCGTGAGGCCAAAAAAAAAATCTTTTGTTGATCAAGTGGTTTTTCGTCGCAGCCACAATTTACACGTGACATTCTCAAATAAATTCCATTCATCACTCATGTCTGATAACTCAAATGGAATCCTGTCGTTTAGCGACAAGTGGACACAAACAGATCGTTTCAACAATACATTATGCGAACTATGGTGGTCAAGCGGTGATTCTGATAAATTATTTAAGCAGCAGTTTTTTTATTCACTTGGACATTTATGACATCAAAGGTGGAATAATTTAAGGGTTGGTGCTGATGGATCTTGATCATTAGATATCTTCAATATTTGCTTTATTAATCCATTTCGCAATAATCACTACTCTTCTTCCCGTCCTCTTGTAAATAGAGCAAACTTTAATTCAAAGAATATCATACAAACACATGCAATACGGCGTCTGCCAACGACTTCAGATCGCCTTCGAATGATATCCGTGAACAGATTATCATTGATCTATTACTAGTATCTTTGGGACTATCGCAGAAGTTGCTCAAACACGCAGAAAGTTCCAAGTCTAGAATGCGCCAAGGATTAAAACAAGGCATAAGATCTACTAAACAACACATACAACAGAATCCACCGCAAAAAATAGTTCTTCTCCTGATGGATCCTCCATACTTTCTAGTTTCTCACGCGCAGACACTCTGCGACATCTTCATCAATCTAGCTACTTATGATGCTCGCTATCGAGCAGTCTTATGTCGTCTCGCAAGACACTTGGAACTTTCGTCGTCTTTGATTCCGAATCTTAAAAAGTCGATTGGCCAACAATTGTATTTTATGCAGCAAGAGGCATTAAAACCAGAACCAGGTGGTGGAAAAGAGACTAAAAAGGCTGACATTTACAAGGATTTGGATGTGAGTGCTCTTCAGAAATTTTAGAAATGGTTTGCACTGGTGCTAGAGTGGTAGTTGGAGCAGCGGTTGGGCTGACCGGCGGATTGGGTAAGAACAAGTTTGGTGATTAGAGATAAGAAGGGCGGTGAGGAAGAAGGTGAAATACACAGAAAGAGAAACTCTGGATGCATCATTAGATATTTACAGCGTTATATCATATCCCTTATTTTCTCTTTAATCTTACATTTCTTCTGCTATATTTTAGCCGGCCCCCTGGTAGCGGCCGAGAATAGGTTGCCGTAATATCAGTCGCCGATGTTAGCTTTGTCGCTACATAATCCACGGTGGCTCTGATTACTTCACTGTTCGGAATAGCCGGTGGCGGCTTAGGCGGCTACCATCAACGTCTGACCGATGGTCTCTTGCGTGTCCAACCGTCTCTCGACGGGTAATTAATGCATATGCAACAAACGACGTAGTGCTTGCAGTAGCTCCAGAATGCATCTTCCGATTTAAAAGTTAGAGGCAGTCGCACACGACAGTGTCGAGAATTATGACATTACAAACTTGCAAAAGGACACCTTGATTATAAAGAACCAAATACATTGAAAATATTTTTGGAGGAAGTCGGTATTGAATAATTGTGCATTTCCTTATTTATTATTGTGTCGTAAATGATGTGACGAGTGTACGGACGGTATCTCTAATAAATATAATTTCCAACGTCATTTAAGCAATCATTACTGTATACCAGTAAATGCACTTTAGTGTCTGTTTACGGGCAAAGTTTATATGATATGGAAATAATATTACCGTGATAATGAATACTACCGTGATAATGAATACTGTCAGCGTAAACAATAGTACATATTGTACTTTGGTCCGAAGGTTTAGGCGAAAAGTGCTTCCATTAGAAACTGGTCCCGTCTTCAGAAACCTCATTACAGTACTTTATCTGAATACCCCACTATTACCAGCCCTATCATAAAAGATAACGCGATATATCTGTGTTAACAAGCCTTCCTGACAAAGCCAAGCAGGCACGTTTTTATTGAAGTTGTTATTAACAAAAAGATTAATCAATGTTACAAAAGTGAAGTAAGCCTAAAAAATTTGTTCTAGAAGCCAGCGACTTTTTCTAAATTTAGTCTGTTGTTGGGATATACAGTATATGGTATACTGTATATAAGCATGCATAATAATAAGTACAGTATGATTAGCAACTTGTAATTCCTCTTTTACTAATGTTACAATATATGTTATAAAAAATAATGGGGACCAATTTTATTTAGTGCGCGGTACAACGTGTGCAGTGCCATTTCTAAACTTTTGCCATGTAATCACTAATTTCTTTTTTTCAGTCAAAAAACGCATTTAGGACCTTACGTAAGCTCAGCCGATTGGGTGTTTGTTTCTGATTCTGCGGATGTGCAAGAAATTCAAAGATGGTAAGAGATTAGGGCAAACTTATTATGTGCCAAATTCCTCCCCGATAAGGGATTGTTAGAAAGATTTATTTCGCCGATGAACTAAATAAATTTTACTGGCGTGACGAAAAGTGTTATTGTGTATACAGATCAATTTGACGTTGAAATGAGAAAACTTACCGGTGAAGACACGTTTCACGGTTTCGGTGCGATTGACGGACTTGCTGTGTTGTAATTATATTGATGGTTTCTTTGTTTCAAAGTCAGAAATAATAAAGCAAAAACTTTCATTATCGGAGAAATAGCAGCTAAGAGAGAAGAAAGACGTTTCAACCCCCTCTACAGAAAAAAAGCCTCGGCCCAATCGAACTGGTCAATTGACAAGTGCGTAATATAAACTGGGAGTAAAAAAAAATTACGGGCTTTTGCAAATCAAAACTTTGCATGTGACTGTGTGCATTTCTTATACACCGATAACCGTATCGTTCCGAAAATTAACTGCCCCAAATTTTTACACGTTCTAGAGCATAAATAATATCATTATCGTTATTATTTAGTCCATGTCATTAAAGATACAACTTTAGCCAGTAAAAAAATTTTACTGCGTTTGTTCTAGGACAATTGCGATAATAATCATGTGTGTTACATTACAATACCTCGTGTAAAATTTATTATTGGTTGACAATCGCAGATTTCACACTCCCTATTGCATAAGATTACGCGGCAAAAAGCAATTAATAATCTCAAGTAGTACAATTATGTCATATTCCGTCATCTTACACATGAGTACGCGTCGTCTATATATACTCAGATGCTTCCTGCACCATTGCTCATTTATCATTACAACAAACTCTTCTCCAAAGCGTAAACACTAAATAATATACTACAAGAAGTCCTCCATATTACGCAAGACGGCACGAACAAGTCAGTAAACAATCACGCAACGAACTTTTGCCACTCAAAACGACATGGTGTATTAAAACTTAACTGCAACGAACACTTTTGCCGCCGCTTTATATTACGCGCGCGTACGACAGTTCGAGGCAACTCGCGAACAAGTCCTCAAAGAACGACAGACAAGACTTAACGTGATGGTGTTTTCAAGGTAAGAATTCTTACTGGGTAGATTAGTTGAGGGTCCGTATCCGAAGGCACGCTGCCACTAGGTGTAAAAGCCGGATGTTCGATAGCGCTCCGTGGCCACACTTGTAGGTTGTTTGTCGTGAGGGTGACTACTTAGTATGTGTGTATCTGAAGGGACGCTGCCAC